ATGCTGCTTGTTTAACTTTTTATGAATTTCTGAATATTCAGTTGCTCAGAAATCTCCCGCATTACAGCATCAAAAATTCTGAAGAACTGAAAATCTGCTTGGTTGCAAGTGTCCACCTTGCTCATGTCCACCACTTGTGTGCACCTGGGCTCTGTGTGCAGCGTTGCAGCCTGAAAAGGCTATGAGTCCCCTTTGATATAAGAGGCATCTTAGAGAATTATTTGTTATTTTATGCAGGTCTCAGTGAGATGTTGAGATTACGTCCTTCAGTTTTGGCCCCTCTATGGACTGTTTTGCTGCTGTGATACCCATGGGCTCTGCGGGCAGCTCTGCTAAGACCAAGCTTGAGACTTCCAGCCTGATCCTCAACCTGCCTGTAAGTGACAGCCACTCTACGGAGCTGTAATTACATCAAGCTTTTATCTTCTCCTCTCTGCTCTTCAACAGCAAAAGCAGTTTCACTTAATCATTTTCATTAACTGCAGTGTTTGTATTTTCTGTTGACACTTGGTTTTCTGACCTAAAAGATCCTCTTTCTTGAGAGATAACCTCCTTCCACTCCAGTACCTCATTAAAAAATAATGACATTCCGTGATGTTCATACTTTGATAGTGGAGCTTTCTATGTGTCACTGTAGGCACATGGTTATTCTACAGGCCATAGGTATTGGAATTAATGGATTCATCAGCACATTGATGTCTTTTTTTTTTTTTTTTTTTTTTTTAGATTTAAAAGACTCTGGATATCAGTATGGGGCTATATACTAATATACTAATATTTCAGTATTCTTCCACAAAGTTAGTGAAATCACAGTATTTTGTACCCTCTGAGAATCAGGGCCACTAACTCTCTGTATTTTTTTAAAATAATTTTGCTTAGTTTGTCCTTACATCTCTAAACTGTACTTTGTGTTATAGCAGTGTGGTTCTAGATTGATTTCAAGAGAATTCTGGTGGCTTTTGTGGTGAAGCCTAAAGCACAGTCTGCCCCTGCAACCCCTGTAATATCTAAACCCTGTATTCACATAGTTAAGTTTATGTATTTAATYTTTCTAGAGAGAAGAGTATGATATATTTTGATTTTATTTTGATTTTTTTTTAAGGAATTGATGATAGCCAACCTTTTCACATTGAATTGTGAACGTAAACCTCCAAAAGCAAATGTTAATATAATTCACAGGTCACTATATTTCTAAGGGTTACAATTTGAGATGTTTTCCTTTGGAAATTTAGTCTGCATGACGATTTTGATCAAATACCTTGGCTTGTAACATTTGTAAGCCCTAACAAAATGCAGACAATAGAAGAAATGTTGGCATGTAAATCAAGTTCATTCTCAGGGGCAGGTGCAAGCGCTAAGCACAGTTTGAGCATTAAGGATAAGAGTGTAACTATAAGCCTCTGCCTGATGAAATGGAAGAAAAGGGTAAAACAAACTATTGAGAGCTTGACAGAAGGTATCTAGCTAAAAACGCATTTGCTAATTACTTAGGACTTGCACCCTGCAATCAGGATGACTCAAAGCAGTGAGTGCCCTGAATTTAACTGAGGAGCCAGAGGGCATTTGGGAGCTCCCTCGAGCCCATCTAGGCCTTGATGGGGATGTGGCTGCAAGACTCAAGGTTAAACCTCTTTATTTGCTCATTGACTTTATGAAGGGAGGTAGTGATTTTCTGAATAATATTAATCGTTGGACCTTCCCTGACCTTTTCCCCCACGGGATGATCATACCTAATGAAAATTCAGCTGTGCTGCTGAGCTATGATGGGCAAAAGAGTCACTTGTTCTTTGCCTGATTGGATAAATATGCAGCTGTTTTTGGAATCAATTCTCACGCGTGTGGAATTAAAGGCTGCAATTCTCAAGCGCCCTGGCACGCAGGCAGCCTGATCCCATCACCTGAAACACCAGGGATAAAAAATACAAAAGATGCAGAACGGTGACCAGTGACTTGGAGGAGCAGATGAATGCTCTGGGGGTAGTGTTGTGCCTCTCTGCCTTCAACCCTTTTTGGTAAATCCAGACAGACCATCAGAGTGTGAATGCATCCACATTGTTAAAGGCTTCCCCTTATCACAAAGTGCTATGTTCCCTTTAGCACTGGCCCTGAAAAGCTGTAGTTGTCTGTTAATCCTCCTGGCCGGCTTAGACATTTTCCTTCTTTTTTTACATGTATTTTAGAGAAAATTCTATAATTTCTAGAAGATTTAAATATATATATATATATATAAATCTATCTTCTGGTATTTCTTATGTTTCTGGAAATTTAGAACAGTTTCAGCTTGTTCTGCTCCTAATTCCTTCTTTGCCCTTTGATCCAACATGTGTGTGGGTTGAGAGACCCACTGTGTGAGGGAAGCGAAGCCCAGGCAGCCCCAGGGAAGAGCTGGGCCAAGGTGAGCAAGAATCCACCCGTGCCAGCAGCCCCAGCTGCCCCCATGTCTATGCAGGGGGATGCTGGACTCACTAGGATAACAGCCCTTAGCACGGGGCCTTTTATCTGGGAGGCAAAGTCAAAAATTGCATCTGACCTCTGTGCGCGCAGGGACACAAGTGCCGAGCGCTCTGCCCGGACCTCCGGAGGTGCCAGATGGAATTGCTAAGTGAGCTAGCTAAATGAGGGTTTCTGAGGGTGACAGGGTCTGCCTTTTGCCCACGTAGTGCATAGGAGGCTCTGACGGGTAGTTTATCAAATCATTTATTGTGAGCCTTAGACCACAGTTGGTCTTTGGTGGTGGTTTTTCCCCAAATGGATTGCTGATTTTTGAAACTAAGTCCCTTTGTTTGCTAATAGAATAATATGAGTAATTAAACAGTCTAAATATAGATTTGCCTTGTTTATTTATAGGTCAGATTTCCATTTTTTCTAGGTCAGTGATGTCTAGTAATAAAACTTTGCAAAAATAGAATTCATTAATAATACCAATAGACTATATATGATGAAAATTTTGATTTTAATTTTATTTTTAAGGGTGTAAGCGTGTGTGCATATGTATTTGTGAAGAGCACAAGCTCAGGGAAATGAAATCAGAAACACACCCTACTTGTTCAGACAAATAATCCTTTCAAGTTTTGCTAATGCAGTAGGATGTTATTTTCCCTTTGCACTGGCTGTGCTTGCCCTGGCAGTTGTTTAGATTTCAATGTGAAAATCATGCATGCAACTAAAATTGCTTGGCTACAAAATTAAATGAATTGGAATTCTGTTCCTCCATGAAGAGACTTGATTTAAATCACTGTGTGCCCGGGAAAACATGGCAATTATATCTGTTCCGTAAAACTGACAACTGCATCTAGTTATTCCTCTGAATTTGATCAGATGACTTGGAGAATATCTTAACACTTAGGTGATCAGATTGAGAATTGTTTAGAAAGTTATAAAAGTGAGAGACACTTAATTAATTTTGTCAGTAAATATAAAAGGGCTAGCTTGCATTTCCAGAAACTGATTCAGCTAAAGTCAGGCTAATTAGATGGACACAAAAAGTCTTCATTAGAAGAAAATTATTGAGGTTATTATGTCAAAACCCAAATAGATAGGAAATGCTGCAATTAATATGTAATCAATTTGACTCTCTGGTACATACACATATATAATACCTCAGTACTTCACAAATGCTAATGGTTATTTTGCCAACATCTAGAGGTGATAGAGGGGAGGGAGCATCCTTCTACATAAGGGATACACRAGCAGATGAAGATTTTGTGATTTTTAAAACTTATTTTGAGATACCAATGATATAATTTTTCAGGATAATAATAGACTCATATTTAACACTTTCTTTTAGCTAATTCCCGCTGCAACTGTGCTTGGTCTCTGAAAATGAGAAAACACTTAACAACCACATGTAAAAAGTATGATTTATATAACCTGCCAAATATAAACAGGCGTTTTGGCCAAAACAGAAAAGGTCCCATTTTCCTGAATAACATCTAGCAGCTTTGCCCATGTAAACTTTCTTTCTCTTCATTTATTCTCTTGCTTTAAAGCTAATTGGTTAATTATCACTATTTTCCTGAAACTCTTCATTTTCTGGTCTTTCTCTCTGAACATATTTGGCACTTGCATGAACTGTCCCAAATTTTCTACTTCTGAAGCATTCATCGTTTAGCAAGGAAAGCAGTAATTTCAGTCTTTATTGTTTATGATTTATGATTTATGATTTACATTTGTTGTAGCGTATTGTATAATATTAGGCAGTACAGCAAATTTCATAATATTTGGCTAATTAGAGTCAGTAATTATATTTTCTCTTGTGTTTCTCAGTCTTGTAAATCAAAAGTGAGCCCTTGTAGAAATGTCTTTAATGTATGGGAACAAGAATTCAGAGAAGCAGGGAGAAAAGGTGAAAGAAAAAGACAAAAAGATGTTCTAGAGTTTGGGGAGCTAGATGATCAAAATAATTACAAAGAGTAAATATTAGGAAACCACTACAAAAGAAATAGGTAATAAAATCCTAATGTTGTGTATCCTGCTGTAGTATTTGCACCCAGATATTTACAGGATCCCTTTTACTCAGGAACAAAGATAAAAATACACCTGAGCATTGAAACAACATCTGCTCCTAACAACATTTATGCACCTATTTTAAAGGTGGTTAAGTACAGCTCAACTTTTTGGCTTTAGCTTTTACCTGATTTTCACTCTTACATTGGGTAACAAGCCATTGCTTTGCCATTTTCATCACTTTTAGGCGTAGTTGAAGGTGTGAAAGCCCACCATGAAGCCGCTCAAAAAGCTGAAGTTTGGCACAGAATAAAGCGAACATGCAGAAAAATCATGTTTGGTCTTTTAGCACGAACGTTAACGTTTGCATTYGCGTGCGATGCTTTAGCGCCGCAGACGTGCCTGGCAGCGGCGCGAGCCTCGCGTGGTGCAGCGAGGGGCGGCCCCGCAGAGGCCGCGCAGCACCGGGCACTGCTCCAGCTCGCCCCGCGTGCCCGCGCACGCCGCACAGGCAGCAGGGGGGCAGGAGAGGGGCAGCTCCCAGGGTTACTTACGTTGGCAGCCCAAGCTGCGCCAGATATATCCCGGCAGACACTTATCACACTTAGGCCCTGCTGTTCCCTCCTTACACTCACAAAATCCTCTGTCATTACAGCGATCATGGACTGACCCAAAAGGGTTACAATAACAGTCTGCAGAAACAAGACAACACACACACTGCATTCAGGTCTACGTATGGTAATAAGTCATTCGATACCAATAAAGGGTGCATTTCCAGTATTAAAGGAAGACTGTCTATTAGTGATATATGGATATAATTATTACAGGCCCATTTATTTGTTTACACATGTTATTTCAGGCGGAGCCCCCTGATGGTGTGAAAAGAACAAGTGAAAAGAGAAGATAAAAAAGAGGAAGAGGACAATCTTGGAAGGTAAGTGATTTTAACAGAAATTCGGTTTTGGTAAGAATGTTTATGACAGCTTAATGAACATTAGGAGAGGTTTGCAGAGGATGGATATATCAATATGCCATTAGATGGAATGTTTTACATTATTAAAATAGGCTTATCTATACTGCTCAATATTTTGAGAAGTACTGAATGTCTTTATTGGGCTATATAAATGCACTTTACTTATTTCCAAGATAGTCTTCCTTTATAGTTTAGAGTAATATCTTAACTTACGTGGCTATTTGCCATTAAATTGATGACAGTGTATTTATCAGAGATGTTAAACCTTCTACATAATCTACAAGGATAATGCTTGAGGTAGGCAGCAAGGCAAGGTGAAACTTGCTCAGAACTGGCTTTGCTCCTGCCTTTTCCATTCCACTTTTCTTGCATCCCAGTGGGTGGATGGAAGATGCAGTGGGGCTGATTCCCTGCTGTCTATTTTCCACGTGAGCTGACCTAATTCTAGAAGGGTAACCAGTTTCCTCCCACAACCCTTACTGTAGGGAAATATGTTTTCTTCTTCATTTACAGCCCTTTTCTTTAATGTAATTGCAAAATCAATGTTTGGCTTTTAGCTAGCTGAAGAAGACAAGACTGTTGCTAGCACAGCTCATTTTTAACACTCCTGTTGTTCATTTATTTTCCTCTTTTTTTTTTTTTTCCTCCCAACTGAAGGGCCATATCTTATTTGTATTTAGACCAATGTAGACCCAGAGTAACTCCACTGTCATCTGAGCCCACGGACACACTTAGGTGTTGCCGATTTCTCTGATCTCTGCTGCTGTTGAAGGCAAAAGATAGAAATTGATTCCTGAATATAGGCAACCTGCTGGGGGTCTGGCTTTATATGTTTTTAGAACAGTGTTATTTTGATGACTGTCTTTGGTAGTTGTTCTCTACCATTATACGAAGCTCTTTAGTATTGCAAATGACAAAATGGAGTTGAATTGGAAAGCGAAATATTTAAAAATCCAATGTAAAAACTGTAACAAGAAAAGTGTTACCAGAAACACATTTGTCATCTGTTGTTGCAGTGTTTATTAGCTATAAATTACAGATGACACTTRGGACGTTTGGCATGCTAAAGGAGAATAGTAACTACCTTTGGCAAACATAGTTCCACAATAATAGCCCAGTCAATTAGCTAACAACATTCATTAATGCAGCTGAATGCTCAAATGCCAACAGTAYTATGTGAGACTGGGGGTGGTTGTACCCGAGTGAGCACCACCTGAAAAGCTGGCAAGCCTGATATTAATCACAGGTATAAAACCCTGATGGGAACAGGCCCAGAGCTGCACAGATGCAGAATGTAGGAAGCCTTGTTTGCTTAAAGAGCATTTATAGTGCACCTTGAAAGACAAAAGGCTTGGAATTACAGGCAGAGGGCCTAATTTTCATGCCTTAAAAGCAGCTTAGGTGAATATAAGGTCATTTAAAYGAGTGTTTATGGAAGTAAGACTTTGGTATTGAATGTTCTTGACACACGTGTAATCCAAAGAAAGAGAAGGAGGYCCAGAGTCAGTGAATGTATTCCTGCTGGACGCCGTCTCGTGGCTGTGTTGGAAGGACCAGGTTTGTGCTTTGCTGTTTCCAGTGTCGTCTTTCCCTTAAGTAAAACTGTAAGCTAAGCCCTTTTACACAGGCAGCAGGTCAAACTGCAAGGCAGTGCAGACCGTAAGCCCAGGAACACTTGGTAACTAAACGAGGGCTACAAAACCACAGGCTGTGAAGCTTCCCAGTGCCTCTGTGCCCTTCAGATATTAGTAAGACCAAATGCCCCAATTCCAGCATGTCCCAGGAAGACCCTGGGTGCCATCAATGCCCTTGCAACAGCAGGGCACGAAGCCACACAGCCAGGTTTGGGGCAGGGCAAAAACAGTCTGTGCTCATCTGGGCTGAGAAGGAAATTTCTTCTCGACTTCAGTCCATGAGGATGGCTGTAAGGATGGCGAGTTGACAGCAGCAGTCATCTGTTCACTGTGATTCACTATATTACTTTGATGCTGCCAACAAAATACCCTGAAGATAAGTAAATAGCCCTCAAGGTTCRCTTAGTGCATGCACCATCAGAGTTTTTAAGGCTCTTGCAGGTGCTAAATGTCGCTGAAGCTCAAGTGACTGCAAGGCTGGGTTGTTACGGGTGCGAGGCAATGTTTACCATTTGAGTATTTATTTCAGAAATCAAAGAAAACAATTTATTACTCTGGGTCTACTTGGTCATGTTCAAGCTMACCATGCTTGCAAGTGTATTCACTAAAATAAAAATGTCAAAGTCCTGATAATGCTTTAGGATTTAAGACATTATAAAAATAAAAATCCTTTCAGGTTCTGTTAAACTTTTTTTTTTCCCCCTCATGAGCATGTCAAGTTAATTCATTTTTACTTGAAGTTATACAGATTTATTTAAAACTTGCCATGGCCCATATGAGGTAATTTTGAAGTTAATTGACATATCCAGAAATTTTTATCATTTCTATTTAGGAAATACAAAATAATTTTGTAACTAAAGAAACTAAAGGCATAATAAATTTAGATTTAGGCCCACTGTGTAATGTAGCTGTACTTGATTCACAGAGTAAAATCTTCTCAGTATTTCTATTCTCTGCAACTTTGTCACTTTGAAATTTAAACATTTCACATTTTCTCCATTTAGTTTAACATTGGCTAAGATTCACGTGTTTGTTATCTGCATACTTACCACATATATTTATTAAAACTAAGTTGTGTTGCTAAATCAGAGCCAAAACCCTGTTAGCTGCCATTAGACTAGCTTATCCAAACAGTTCTGATTTTTCTAAATATAGGGCTGGAGAGGAAAGAATTAACTTAGAAAAGTGAGACTTTCACATGGGAATAAGACTTGCATATGTCACTGGAAATCTGCTTATTAAATGTTCATGCCAACGCTCCACTTGCAGTTAAACCCCCAAACTGCTCTGAAACTCCAAGAAAAATGAGCATTTCCAATAGAGCGGGACTCTCTGTGCTTGACCCAGAAAGATGGCAAAGCATCAGCTCGCCGGGTTGAGAATACTCAACATTTTGCAGGATTAAATCTTAGGAGCCCCAGTTTAGAGAGGAAAAAAAAAATGGAAAAAAAAAAAAAAAAAGCCCTTTAAACAGAGATCTCTCTTTCTTTCTGGGAAAGAACTTAAATATCTGCTTCACTCCCTGACTTCCAGCTTGGAGCAGTGGGAGGGCTGCCTGCATTGCTGGCTTCGCTGGGCTCACAGCTTTCTTGTGCCAAATGATCACTAGGGCCCTGAAAACTGTCCTAGTCCAACCAGAGTGTTGCTTACTTAACATATTTTACGTTATTTGTTGCCAAACATGTTTTGAGCTCATAGTTGTTTCCCATGGACTATTTTCCCTTGCACTAAGGTGGGGCGGTCTGTAAATGCATCGCCCGGCTTTCTGGGAGGAGCTTTCTTTAAAAGAAAGGTGGGTTTTGTTGTTCCTGTTTTCTTGGGCTTTTACTTTATTTCTGCACAGTCTGGGCCATTCTGAACTACACAACTGTTTATTTTACAATGAAATTCTAAATATATCACTTGCAAATTACGGAAAACGTACTCAGCTTGGCCCCCTGGTTTATCATCTTCCTTGCTTCACTGACAAAGCTACAGATGCTGTCTTAGCATTTCAGTGTACATGGGATGACAATTTACTGAACGAGCTGATGAAAAATCCCAAATAGAGTAATTTAGTGTCATTTTCATTAGGCCTGTTTAGACAGTTTAAATTAAACAACCCTGATGTCACACCAATGATGTCCCTCATCTACATCAAGCAAATATGAGGGACAGTGCTTTTTTCCAGGAACATTTGATTGGGTTAATCCCCTCAGCAGAGTCATACAAAGTCATGACTTGCCTACTAAAGTTCATATTAGCTCATCCTAATTAATGTCAGAGGAGATCATGCATTTTTGAATGCATTGCCAAGCAAAGTTAAAAGAAGGACACATGAAATGCAGTGCGTGGATGGATCTGGGTGCTTATCATGAAATAAAATGTAAATCTGACAGGCTGCAGACTGAAACAAATAATAGTGATCCAAATAGTTTCTGAGTTGACTCTTAGCAATGGATTGTAGGGGGATACATCTGTGCCCACAGATTATTCCTGTGTGAAAATCTTATGCCTGTTTTTCCTTCTTGGAAATAAAAAAATAATAAGTTACAGTAGTAATTCAGAGTGGGTTCCCCTGCTGCTTTGGTCTACAAGCAATAATATGGGATGCTGTCCTGCCTTTGGTTCTTGCTAGAACGCTGCCCTCGYTGGCCATTCCTTAGCTTGGAGCCAGGGAAAGAAGCTTCCTTCCAAGGCCAGGTTCAGCCCTGCTCTCACCTCCCGACTTTCTTCCTCTGTGTCAGCTCTGCAGTGAGGTGAGCAGGATGCACGTTCTTCTAGCGTGACAAAGATCTCTTTATCTTTTTTTTTTTTTTTTCTAGTATGCTATTTTTATTATGTTCTGACATTTTCTTTACCTCTGCATTTTGGGTATTTATACTAGACTCTAGATTTAAAGCACTGTTTTCACTTAGGAATCCTTCTTCTAAATTGACACGATGTCAAACTGCTTTGACAAGCCCTACTCCTAGCTGCAAGGGCGCGATTTCAGTCCCTCCTCCGAGGGGCAGGGGAGTTGAGGCAGCTTTTACAGCACTGACTTTGCTGCAAAACCCAGCAGCTGGTGACTGTTGCAATTGGGCATTCAAGGGCCTGTACAAATAACAGCAAAAGTCAGCCTGGGGACAAGGATTTGTGACTTAATCCTTGTGTTTCACACCCGTGTCATTCCAGGGGGGCATCTCCCTGCTGACCGAACCTCCTCCTCAGGGCTGCAGGGCGAGCTGAGATAACTGGATTAAATCCCCAAAGATATTCCCACCCATTGAAAAAGCTCATTGTGGCCGGGGCCTGAAAAGGCAGAGAAGAAAAGGCACAGTTAGCCCGGGACTGACCTATGCACACATTTTCATCGTCCAGCTCTGCAGAGGTATTTCTGAAGTAGCCCAGCCTGCATAACTCGCAGTGCTGACCTCTAGTGTTGTGCTTACAGCTCACGCAAATGACCGTATTGAGCAGCTCGATGTAACTGCACCGGTTGGAGTGGCCGAAGCATTCACAGTCTTTCAAGGAAGAACAGAAATGTATACAAAATGTATACAAAATGTATACAGCAGCAGAGTAATCGCACATCACATGCTCAGTAAAAATGAATCGTGAGAAGAAGTATGAATGGATGGCACAGACATGTTCATCGATGTAACATGGACAGCAGCAGATGTTTATCTGCAATGGAAGCGAGCTCGGATTCAGGCAGCGGGAGCGAGGCGGACGCCCGGCACGGCGCTGGGGCTGGAGCATTGGCAGTTGTGAACCTTGGGGCACGAGGGGCGTGGGCGCCCTGCACCTTTGAGGCGGGTGCAAATTGAGACATGGGCACGAGTTCCTTGGGTTAAAAATACCAATTACAGCGGACAAAAGGGCCAAACTTGAGCATACTTAAACCCACAGCTAGGTATGAAACAGAAAAGCTTTGTTTTGGCACAAGTGCTGAGTWTTACAAATACCGCTGGACTCGGGGTGCTGCAGACGTAGAGATCTGCAGGAACCAGACTGTTTTAAGACCAAACAGCCTCAAGTTTGCTGATTTTGGCCTGCACTTTCTAAATAATTAAGAGGAAAGAAAAGGAAGGAGGAGCAAAGGTGTTATTTAAGTGCCACGTCTACTATAGTTCTGAGGCAAACATAACCCATTTTTATATTGAGAGGGAAAAGCAACTAGGCCAGAAAAGATGTTGAAAAGTCTGAGAAATGTGAATAGGAAGCAGGTCTGTTGTAGCCATCTGAAATGCAGGCTGCACCGCTTTTTGAGAAACCTTTTGTTAGAGATAAAATCTATTGCTTCTTATGAATTTTTTTTTAATCATAAACAAAGTTTGTCTTTTTATACAGAAATTAGAAAATTGTATCATTATGCAAGGCACCGCTCTGCCTTGTGTAGAAAGGCCGGGCAAGTGCAATAACTCATCTCGGAGATGATGAGCCTGGAATGAATGCGGGAAAGGTTATTAGGAGGATCAGAGGAGGGGAGAGCCTATTTAAGAAGTGCAGCCTTGGGATCCGTTGATTTGTTTAGTCTACAAAACCGAAGGCTAGGAGGTGATGTACCTGTAYGATACAATTGCATGGAGAAGACATCCCTTTGCTGGGTGCGCAGCAGAGCTAGCAGATCACGCTGGCACAAGAACACACGGGTACTGAACAGCCACTGAGAAACACCAGCTGGAAACCAGGAGACAGTTCCAGCCACGAAGGCCCCGAGCTCCGGGAACACGCACCCAGCTTGTCCCAGAAACGGGCGCTTGAGCGATGCCGTTTGATGGACGGTTGGGGGACATGAGGGCGTTTCTCGCAGGGCCTGGGGGGTAACCCCGGCTCTTGCTAAAGCCGCTCAAGAGTGTGTCCCACACCTCCCAAGTGTGACGAGCTGCCCTTCCTAGAGCATCCTGCTGGGTACTCAGCAGTGCCAGGTGAGCCCCCACTTGTTGGCCTTGGACTTCAGATGTAATATTTGTGCCTATTTATATTTCAATAAAGTAATAGCAGCATATATTGGGTATACTATGCGTATGTCTTGCTGTTGTCTGACAGACAGCAGCACATTCTAAATAGACTGTATCATCCCCTGTACTGCACAGTTTTTAGCAAAACTTGCATTTCAGTCCTCAGAGCTGCCTTTCTGCTGCCAGAAAACATTAATCTGGTTTTCACATAGACGCTCAGTTTGCATAGATACTTGTCCTCTTCAGTGTTATACAGCTAAGCCAATGTTTTGTGGTTCTTGAGAGTCTGATGGTTTTTATACCTGTATCTACTGGAGTTCAATACAACATATACATAATTTTTTTCTACATACCTTAGTTCAGTTTCTAAATTTCCAAAAAAAATCCTTAGAGCTACAAAATATAAAGTGCTAATTAACCATCATGCATTCACAGCAGGAATTTATTTTAGTAAAGTGATGCTTCTGTTACTTGGTTTTAGTTGCTTTGGACTCAACATATCTAGACTTTGTCAGCTCTAGGTGTATCGGGCACAACTGAGCAGGAAGGGAAAACACGTAACTTCATCTCTTGTCTTGTAACTGGTCAGTAAGGCCTGTGGCTACCCATAATCACACTGCAGGTAAATTTAGAGGGAATAATTTACCTTGCTTTTCCTAGCAGCGACAGGCAGCAGAACAACATTGTATTTTTATGTTACAAAACTACGTAGGCTGTAAAGAAGTGGCAGTGTATCAGACTGTGCCACGTCATCTGGTGTGTTGAAAATAGCAGAAAAAAAGGAGACCCTTCTGTGAATGAATAACTGCATTTCATGCACTCTGGAATTGCGGTATGACCTTCAGTGCTACCACAAGACACCGTTAGCAGGTGCAAGCGCGTGTGTTGGTGTGCAAAGCATGTTTGTGCTGTGTGAAGGAAATGACCTTGGTTCTTGAAGTTAACATAGGGAACGACTTAAAATGCCGAGCGCTTGTTTTTTAAGACTGGTAAATGCTATGTGGTATAGGAAAAAAAAAAAAAAAAAAAACAGATAACTGGAACAGTCAAACAGCTGATGAAAGACAGCAATGGGACAAAGGGGAAAAAAAGGTCCTGACTTGTAACTAATCTTAATTTGTTATTAAATCAAAATTTTACTAATACAACAGTTTGAACTTATTTTGCCTATTGCTTTTGACTTAATCAGCAATTATTTTTTGCTTTCTTCTAGTTTTACAGAAGCAATTACGTAACAACTACTGAGAGGATCTTCACGTGAACCCAAGTTATGCATTTTCTCTGCTGCTGTGCAACGGAGCCTTCTCAGACACGCGGCTCTGGCTGGCAGCCCGAGCGCTTTCAGTCGCTGGCAAATCACTCGTGGAGACGGGGAGAAAAGTGGCCCAAGGCAGAGGGCAAATGGTCTAAGGACAACAAAATGACAAGAGCCTCCAGTGCTGGAAAATGCTGCTTTGGCTTCTGAGTGCTGCATGTCAGAAAAGACATGGATAAACCGCAGACAGTTTTAAAGCTGAAGAACAGTAAGTGGTAAATGGATTGGAAAATAAAACCTCAAAGGAAACGTAAAGATAGCCAGTAGGTTTAATGTGAAGAATAAAGGGAGAAACGATAGCTGGGTTAGATTTGATAGCTGTGTCTGGGTAATTTGGGAACTTGCAGGAGGATTGGCTGTAGGGGCCTTTAAAGGTGATTTCCCGTGCAGTGATTCCTTCGCARCAAGCCAGGTTCTATTGTACAAAGCCAAAAGAAACTACCCTTACATAGACACCCATAGAAAGGTTGCTCATTTAACTGCTTTGTTTCTGTGAAYTGAATGTTAGGGCTTTTTTCTCCTCTGCAAGGCTAAGCATTGACACTTTGGAGAGGATGTACTATTGTGTTGTGGGGACAAGGTTCGGCTCAAGCTTTGGCTGGGACCCGTCAGCCACATGAAATGATGGAAGGTGCACAGATAGAAGGAAAACATAACTTTTAAATTAAGRCATCCTACATGTAATGCATGAGGCAGCCATCAGTGTCATTTTCAATTAAAAGTCAAGGAGTATTTCAAGAAAAGTCTGTTCAAAGATAAAGGGTTTAAAAAAAAATCTTAACAATTCTGTGGTCCTCTTTTATATGCTARCAAAAGGCAAACAAAGGAGATTTTCATCATAACCTCAGAAGTAACCTGCTTTGTAACAAACAGTATGGCTCATCATCATGATCTCATCAAACGGGTCAAAGGGAGTTCAAATACTTGTTACTATCCCTGTTCCTTAGTAACATGTATTTCATGAGTAATGAGATATTCACAGTAGCTACAGAAAGACAAAACATTTTATACATAATCTTTACAGGTAAACTGATGAGAAAGAAACAATGAGTTGGTCCCAGCGAGCGAGCGTTCAGGCTGCAGATGACAGGTATGCAGATGGAACAGGTTGCCTGCAAGTCACCGAGAGGATATTGACACCTTTCCCTAAGCCCRTCTAATTCCGTTATTTTCACAAAACACTGAAGCATCAGTTCAAAATGTGTGTAATGCCTCCACTTGGAATTTGCACAYGCTTACGAGCAAATGAAGATGTAAGGCACAATTACAATGCATTAAAAGACTATATATACACCCTCCATAGCATTTAAAGATAATTCTTGAGGATATGGGCAACTGATGTTTTGTGTGTTGTTTACCCTCAACTGATCTGCTTATGATTCCTCTTTTATAATTTGTGTGTATTAGTGAGGAAAATAATGTCTCTAACAAACAGTTGCTTTCTAGGCAACAATCTGAATGGTCATGTTCTTATTTTTATTTCCTTTAAAAAATAACTGCCAGGTGACTTTATATGCCAGCAGCAATTATCTAGGAAACATATGTACTATTATATTCTTGTGTATGGCTTATGTTTGTGTGAATTAATGCTTCTGTTGTTGTCAATGAGAATGCCTCACCAGTAAGCTGATAGGAACACTTCACAGCTATTCCAGATTCATACAGTGCAATGTTTTCACAACACATAACACTACGAAATCACTGTATGAATCCAAGAATTCCTACCTCTCTTGTGGTTTGCAACTTGAACAGAAGAAACAGTTGACATAGCTAATTTGGGAGCAACTGGATAGGTAATAAAATAAACAGTTCATTAGACAAGGTATCAAATAGGAGCAAATCAAAAGCTTAAAATAACTTCTTTATTAACTAATTTTTTATTTAGCTTTAACGATGGTTCTTATTTTGTATGGTAAGGGAGGAAATTAGAGGAGAGTGGGTTATGCACATATCAGCTATTGAGTCAGAGGAGCTKAAACATCCAAGGTCAAGAAAGGGGGTGATTCAGCCCTGCACGTCTGGGCAACCCTGCATTTGAGGCTGCTTGAAGGGTCTTCCCAATCCATGACCACTGTTTGGTCCAGGGRCCATATGGTGGTCTGAGCAAAGCGTTTTATTAACTTTACATGCGTGTTTGTTCTGTCCTACTGGCATAAAATAAGCACCAATGTAATAAAACTACATATAGGTCATTTTCCAATGGTTATCTTCTTTGTACACTATCCTTGTCTCAAGTATGTAATCTACAGCAAATGTTTAACACTGTAACTCRCTGCAAATGTCTAATCTGAATAGAAATGCTTTTAAGGTTTTGTGCTTTGTGCTCCCTAGCAAAATGTCAGAACTAAATTAACTAAAGTTGGCTCTCTTTTTTTGGGAAGAAACACTGCATAATCTTGTGCTGTTTGAGATGCATAGTGCAATGAAGCTAAGTTTTATACCCCAAGCAGTATAATATTTTTTCATARTTTAAACCATGAAATCCATTAGAAATGCTAAGTGCTATTTCATTGGAGGTGTTTTGATTTTAAATTCCTGCAAATAATGTGGGTTAATCCTTACAGAGAGCAGAGATCAGTATATRTTTTTTGGTTTGTTTAAGGAACACATACAAAAATTAGAAAAAATATAATATGGGCTTAAAAAAAACCATTAAAACACTCAGTATCATTTCATTAAGGATATTTAGTTTAAAATGTATGCAATGAAATGTAGTGTACTTCTCTAAGCCTTACAGAGAGCAGAAGAGCAGCAATATAACTTTAGTTCTTGTATGCATGTGTGTATATGTCTCACTTGGTCATTGTAAGCAATGGCTAAAACACATGGTCCTTCTCTTAGCGGGAAGTAAAAAATCAGTAGCTATTTTCTAGATGATCTTTTCATGCATTTCCTTTTCTGTCTGTATTTGTTTTAGTGTAAAAGAGGCCTCCTTTGGATAGTTGCAACAAGCCAGACTCGTGCGAGGGTTTCTGGGAGGGAACAGTGGCTGGGGTAGTAAAGGAGGAGATCAAAAGGACTTTCTTTTTCATGAGCAATCATTTCGAAATGTGCAGTACAGATGAATACATCAAATAAGGCAGTATTTTGCTTCTGCTTTATTAGTCATCCTAAGTCAATCTGCCCCTTTGCAAGTGAATCATCATGCCACAGTCTGTCAATAATTTTTTTGTGTGGCACTTGAATTCCAGAAAAGTGCGAGTCTGTTCCGTGGGGAACTTGCTTGTGTTGTGCAGACTGCACAGGGGGAAATGCTGCTTAGTTCACTTAGAAAAAACAAAGTGGGAGCAAGACATGAAGCAATGGGTTGGATGGAGGCAATGGAAATATCTCTCACTCGAAAATCTTGCAACTTGTGCATAATGCAGACTGTACTGTCTATGCAATGCAAAGTTCTCTAGGGATTCTGTTCAGCTTAACATATGTTGTAAGTTAGGATGCTAAGTGATGTATCAGTAGCACTTTTGTGTATCGATCCTTTTAACTTTTGTGTCTACTTTTGCAGACTCTTTTGCAGCGAGGCTGTGTGTGATCTGTGTGTTGGAAGAATCCCTTTTCAGGTATGACTTGTTTTATGATAATTCTTAATGGATATTTTCAAGTAGAACAGTGCTACTTAGCACCGAGATAAAAATTAGTTGGATGTTGTTATTTTTGTCATCATATGGGACTTTCTGAAAGCAATTTCAGTAATTTGAGAGCACTAAGAATTTTTATAACATCCTACCTTGATTTGGTTTAGAAACCTCAAGGGAAGAAATATTCGGCCAAATCCTATCAAACTTTGGAGGATCTGCGTGCATCGGGAAAAATCAGGATTTGTTATTTACATCTGTGATATTATTCTAAACAGGCAAGCATATGGACAAAGACACAGGTTACAAACAGTCCATGTCGCACTTGAACAGTACAGAACTTCACACCGAACAAGAAAACAAGCAATTGATGATTCCCAAAACACTGAACGGACATAAAATACTGTGYGGAACAGTTTATCTTCCATGGTTTCAAGTATCAATTTTGTTGAGAAGGAGGTACACTAGACAAGTATATATGTTTCTGACGCTAGTAACAAATTAGGAACCTGTATTCATGCTTTTATGTTAATCTGCTCTGTAGAGATAAAGTGACAGTATCCAGACAAATACAAATTTCTTAMCAAAGACATACATCTTACCGTAATATCCTCTTTCAGGGAGTTTTGACTGAATTATTGTTCTGTTATCAGAAAAAAAATATATATATTTACCAGAGGAGTGAACTTTTTCTTTTGCTCTCAAGCTGTGTTTTATCTGTTTGCTACCATCTCTATTGATATATTGCACAGCTTGACTGKTTTTTTTTTTTATCTACATTTCCTAAAGCCCCCTAATGTGTTGCCTACCTCTAGAAGCATTTGTTTTTCTGTTCTGCAGAAGAAGCTGTGTGTCTTTAGAGTGTCTTTCCCTTCAGCCAACGTATCTAGGGGCTGGGCAGTGGGGAATGACCTCCCTTAGCAGAAATGAAGCTGAGAGTAGGGAGGAGGGTGAGGAAAAGGAAAGAAAACTTTCATTTGGGCCCTGTTTTGGGAAATAACTAATATTCTCTCTTTTTTTTTTTTCTGTCATGAAAAAAAATTGTTCTCTTCTCCTTGTTCACTGGCAGCCCCCATTTGCTTTGCCTTTATTATCAGATTTGGGCAATATTTTTATCATCACCTGAATATTGTAACAGTTGTTTTCTTTACTATGGGCTGAAAAGGATGTTCCATAACTGTTTTATCAGCCTATACAGCACTGATGGTTTTTGAGGAGTGAGATATTTCTTAATTTCTGCACATAAGATTTTGGGCAGCTAAGTAGTCTGCAGCTGCAACTTGACTGGCATCAAAGGTCTACGCTGGCAGGTCTTTTTGAGGAAGGCCCATTTCACTGTTAAAACAGACAGTCTTGGCAGAAGACCTCCAAGGATGCTACAGAAAAACCCAAACCAAATCAAACCAAAAATCCTTGCAGCTTCAAACATCTGATTTGGAGGGAAGGAAGGAAGCTATGGTCCTTTCCTGGGTAACTTCTGATGGATCTGTGAAGGCTGAGCAGACATTTGCTGGGGGGGCTAGATGTCCTAAGCTTCCTCCCAAGCAGAGAGAAGCAATTCAAGGAAAGGATTATGACCTGAACCATATCAGTTATTGCTAGGTAGTCTTCTGCACTTTGAATGAGCTGCGATCCAACTACTTCATCATCTCTGCCTTTTTGTACTTTTTCCTTATCACAGGTATATGTCTTGATTAGAAATAACCTGCATCTTCTGAGCAGATCCACCAATTCTCACACATAGGAAGTGCAAACCCGGTCAGAGTGTGGGACACAAGGTACGTGCAAGCCATGCCTACGTAGCTGATCCCATGCTGATCCCATGCACCTCAGGGCCTTCCTTCTCCTTTGGAAACAGGCATGGATTAGATTGGGTTAAGGAGCTTCAAGCACACAAAGGAGTAGTTGCACAAGGGTGGCTACTTATTTGCACACTTAATTAACTGGTCAACTTTTGCGATGACTTTTGGGCTGGACCAAATATCAGAGAATACATATACATATCATGAATGAAAAAGGAAGGGCAAACTTTACTGATTGCATTGGCCCCATTGTCCCTGACTCTCTTTCTCCTTAGCCACAGTGAAATATTAGATTTGCTACAGAAAACTAATTCTATAAATGCTATGGATCTGTTCTCATTTTAGCAAACTGACTTAAAATGAGGATTATGACTTGCTCTAAAAAAAGGCTAGTACTTCCCTGAGACCTGAAATTATATTGAACTGAGTTTGTTAATGGGCAGCCAGGATAATAAAGAGTGTATTTATTATCCCTGAAGACTACCAATTAATGTTATTGGGTTCAGATAAACATAGAGCCATCTATGGACTGCTGGAGGTCTTCTGGTTCAGCCCCTATTCATAGCAGGGTCAGCTTCAAAGTTAAATCGTGTTGTGTGGGGTCATATCCAGCTGAGACCAGGTGACATCTTCAGCTTCTCCGGGCTGCTTGGTAATGCAGTTAATGCTCCCGGACACTTTTCTTCCTCCTACATTTCTTGCACATTTTCTTGAAAATGTTTAAGTCTCTTAATCATTGGATGATTCCCCCCCTCCCGCCTCATATCTGTACTCATGGAATATATTATCTGCAAGATTATAGGTCTCCCAATAAAAGCCTTTCTTTTTATCTTTGAAATTCTCTGTTTCTTTATGGAGATTACTTTAAATGCTTTATTGAAAAAGATATGTGAGACTTCCAAGGCAAAGAATTTTGACTGTCATTCCCACAAGTATATGGGAGCAGATGAGTCATCCTTTGAGCAGACATCAGTAAGATTCATTTAGCAGCTAGTTACTCTTTTATAGAAACTTGTGAAAATATTTCTAGTCCTCCGTGATTATCACTAAAGGCTTTATCTTTAGAGGAACTGACTAGACAAACTAAGCTTTCCTGCAACAGCTCCATGTATGGACAGTCTGTTCTGTAATAGAAATAATTATGTTCCAGAATAATTAATTAACTGTGGACTAGGTAGTCTAAAAGAGACCTTGGGTCAATCTACAAAGGATACTACTCTACTGTATTTTATTCTGTGATAGTTATTCTGGGTAGACAAGGTTGCAGATTTGGGAAAGTGTATCAAAAGGGGCATATTTAGTATATTTCTAAAAAATAAAGATGTTGAAGACATGAAGAGTACAGGTAAGACATATGTCTTATCAGAAAATGCATTAATGCATTGTAAATTTCCGAATTCCTAGTTAATTTTATTCCAAATTTGAGTATTGACAGAAAATATCTTTTGGAGAAATCCTAGGTTCATGAAGTAAGGAGAAACTGATTGCATGGTCTTTATTTCCTTATAATCATTTCTTTCATGTGTTTCCCCAGTGCCTATTTTGGGACACATAATATCAGAATTACCTATTAAATGTAAATAGAGTCTATCGGAATTGCAGTCTGCATCTTGTGCTACATGATGGGGGAAATAACCAAAATGAATTGACATTTTCAATTGGGTTCCAACTAGACAGTTGCACGTTCAAAGAAAAAAATACCCCAACTGTCATGATGTTGGCAGGCATTAATCAGTGCCTTGTTGCTTTCTTGTTCCAGCCAAGCAAGGAGCTGGCAGAGGATGAGAGCATCCCGTATTCCTGTGGCGAGGCGCCCTCCTTCCGTGGGGAAGCTCTGCGCTACCGCGCTCGGCCCGGCTGGGATCCGTCTGTCTTGGGAGCCGGGTGAGCCGCCACCTCCCGCACACAGGGCATGTGCTGGGAAGCACTTCGAGTCAATCAGTCACTCTTGGGTAATGCTCACCCTAGGAATGCCTAGGGAGTGCGTGGGGGGACTGCTGTTGTCGTTTATTTGCATTATAACAACAGCAGGGAATCCTAGGCCATTCAACAAGTTCTTAACTTTCCTACAACTCTTATTTAAAACACAGAAAAACACTTAAAAAATGTGAGGGTGATTTTCATCTTTTGGGGAGAAGTCCAAGTTTCCAGTCCTAGAAGACTGCCCTTCCATTGCCTGTTTAGCCCATGAGTAACTGAGAGTTAAGTTTTTTTTTTCTTCCAAACATGTAGAAATTTGCTTTGCTGAGTGTAATGGAGTCACACATATGTCAGGTTTTTTTCAAATATTACTGTTAGACAAATAATTGAGGATGATTAAATAGAGTTTTCAAATCATTGCCAGGTTTAATAATTGCTGAAATAATTGGATGCATTCATATCAAATGATATTTTAGCATTTCTTGCAGACATCAGAGTCCTGTGGTTACAGCATTTCTGTCTCATTAGATCTGTTTCAAGTCATGATAATCTACCTCATAAATTTACTTTTTAGCATTTAATAACACCGCAAAGTTTAGCTCATCAAAAGAAGGGATGAAATGCCAAGAGTTAACATGAAAAAAACTCTCCCCATTTATTTTGTAGGGTTAAAAAAAAGATTGAGGATAATGTTACTTGATTTTTTTTTCTTTTTTTTTTTTTTTTTTCTTTTTTTTGAGGGGGTGGGAAGCAATTTAGGAAATTTCATACCTGTTCTCTTGAAGATGTGGTTGTTTTATGGCAGCTCCTGGACCATAACAGGTTTTACAATTGTTGACAGAATTTGGATGGAATTAGTCCTTTGGTTTCCTTGTTTTTTCTCAGAGTAGAAGGAAGCAATCTGTTTAGATGTGTTTTTTTTTTTTTTTTTTTTTAATTTGGATATCAGAAAAAATTCCTCTGGTTTTAGCAAGTGTTGACTAGTTCTTCTCAAACAACCAACGTTTGAAGGACTATACTTCAATTATAACTATTTCCAGTGAAATAATGAATGGAAAAACAAATTATTCTCTTGATAGTTTTTCTCTTTTATTGGGTCAGCTTTTTCCTGCTGACACTGAAAGATCCTGAAATTTGCTATTTAGGGGGTTATCAAACTGTAACACATAGCTGATGAAGAAAAGTAAATCAAGACCTGATTCAGAAATCAGCTTGCTGATTTGGAGACCTCATTCTTCCCTTTTAGTTTAATCAGTAAACTGATTACATGTCTAAAGGATAGCAAAAACGGATAGGAAAAGTTAAATAAACAAAAAGCAGGGAGAATACATAAAGAAGTGCATAGAAAATACTTTTTCTTTCAGTAACTTCTGTGCAAGCTTTAAAGATAACAGATTTTTAAATACTTTCAAGGATCATATCTGCTCTCTATATTCTCTATATTTCTGAGCAACTAGACTTCTGAGAAACTAAACACTGCGCAATCTGTTTTGCACAGCTACGTGGTACCTATGGAATACTGCCTTATTTTCTATAGTTGGCCATCGCATCACTGTTCATTAACAGTTAAAACAAAGATAACTGGGATAACTGAGTAATTTCCTATATATTACAGTAAATAAAAAAGCCCTGAACAGGGAATTGCACAGATAGACTTGTTTTCAAAGTAAATAGATACAATGAAGTTAGATTTGGGATGAAAAATAAGAGACAGTGACATGACTAAGCTATCATTGGTCATGGCTGCTAAACTGGTGAGAATGGCCCTTCCTATCTGTTAAAATTGGTGGATCTGTCAGAACGAAGCCAAACAAACCCCAATACTCTTGCAAGCTGCAGTGGAACAACCTATCTATTATTATTATTATTATTATTATTAATAATAATAATAATAATAATAATAATAAATAATAATAATGATAATTAACAATAATTATTATTATTATTTTCCAGGATTTGGGTAGTCCGTGACCCTTCCCTCCCAAGGTACACGTGTGTGCCCGGTGCTGGGTCAGCTCAGCTGTGCTGCTTATTGAACTCCACGCAGGTTATTCAAGGGAGAAGTCCTAGTTATACAAAGAAAAACAGCTTTGGTACAATGGAAACTGCTGAGTAAGTAAACAACTCATTTTGGTTTCTGTTTGGAATGTTAAATTTTCTTTCAAATCTGGRATTGAAATTAATACATGATACCACATAGCCTATCAAAATGTCCTTTCAGATAGTGATTTTTATAGAAGTGATTTTTTTTTTCTTAGCGTAGAAGATTTGTTAAAATAAAATWGAAGTGAAAAAAGTGGAGGGCTTGGAAGTGCTGAAGTAAAGGAAATAAAACAAATACTGTTGCTTTCTTGATATAATAATTTACTCATATAAGGCGATTGCCTGAGACGAGGTGACTGATTAACAGTATTATTTATCCACAAATCAGATTTGGACAAAATGGAATTAAAGTCAGGATGTATTGGTACTGTGTCCAAAATAATATTTATACACACAGTCTGAAGACCTTATTTAAATGGTTTGAAGGGCAAAAAACAACTTAATGGTCTCTTAACAATCTCTCTCTCTCTCTCTCTCTCTGTAAAATTTGACCTCAAATAATAATAGAGAAGAAACAATGTACAACCTGGCTGTGAATGTTTCTCTCCTACTGACGTGTGGGGGCCCTACACACACACTCGTTCACAGTTCCGCACTCTAATGGCTTTAAACCTGCAACTGTCGAGTTTGTGAGGGCAAATGTCATGTCTGGCAACAGTGCGAAAGCAGGTCCAAAATCCTGCCAGTGATATTAAAAAAAAAAAAAAAACAAAAAAAAAAAAATTTTTTTTTCCAAAACCTTTGGATATATATATTTACCACATTGAAACTTTGTAACAAGCATGTAAAAACACAAAATTTCACTCATCCTGACACAGTTGCTATTCCTGAAAAATACCTACCAGCTTTCTCAAGGTTAAGAAACCAATGAAGAAAAAAAAGAAAAAAAAAAAAAAAAAAAAAAAAAAAAAGCCCATTGAATCTTTTAGTTTTCTGTCTTGCATTCATTATCATTTCAAAAAAATTCTCCTAATTTGAAATTGGCTATAAAGAAGAACAAAACCATCCAGAACAAAGCAGAAAATACCATTTGATTATCTTGATTGCATCTTGCACTCGGCTGTACGGTCTGTCTCTAAACTCTGACTCATCTGCCACCAGCAGGCTTTAAGGTGATAATCACCCACACAGAGCTATTTGCACATCATGTCAATCCTAGCCCATGCCTAATTATACCCTTTATAACTAACTGTTTAGCATAATTAGTGGAATTATGCTTTACAGGAAAAAAGATGGAAGCTATAGGTTAGCAGATTAAAGCTTTTTGAAGGCATACAGGAACAAACTAGTAACGGTGGTGTTTGCTCACAATAATGAACATTTTGGTGCATAAAATCGTACAATGATTATTTACAGCACGCAAAATAATGTAGGTTGTGTAATATTTACATTCTGTATGTAGACATTGCTGATTATAAAAATTTACAAAATGGTTTTGGGACTCATTAATTGCTAACACTCTCACCAGTGTTTTTCCAGACATGGCTGAAAAATGCTGAAAGGACCAGCATTGGAGTCAGGAATGCTGGAAATGACCCGAGAACCTGTTATCCGACTGATAGACAACAGCAGGTACAAATGACCTTAATGGGAAAGCTCTGGTTGAATTACTTTTTTCTAGATGATCAGAAAGGATGTTTACTTAATGACCACTCTTTCTTTGTTCACTCTTTATGATGTGCTACTTTAATACAAGATCCTTTAAGGTTTTAAAAAAAAAAAAAAAAAAAAAAAAAACACCAACAGAAAACCCAGAATGACACATACGTGCGCACACTGGTAAATATATTTGCTATTCTTGCTGGGCATGCTTGGTTTTTGTTTGAAAAGTGTTAAATGCACATCTGTTGGAAGTGGCATCCTCTTTGCATGCTGGCAGTTCAGTGCTCAGGTGCCTCCTTCCTCTGTGCCCTATGCACTAGGAAAAGCCTGGAGTGCACGAAAGGCAGCTCCCCAGGTTAGGGTTTGCAGCCCGGCAAAGTGAAACCCAAGCTGCATCTCTCCTGGGGAGCTTCTTTTCCCTGGATGGGGGAAAATCTCCTGATATGAACCCAAACATTGTACTAGCCTAGGCAGAAGAAGAAATTGTGCAGAATCCATTAAAGCAGTCACAACTAATTCACCTTGCTTATTTCTCTGTTAATTCCACTAAATTCTCTCAGAAAGCAGGTTAAATCTATGGGGTTTATTCTTGTTTATTCTGCTATTTCTGTCCTATAGGAAAGATGTTCAGAACATTGTGCAAGTGGAGCTGCATTTCCCTGAGTTTTTAAGAAAACAAAACAAAAGAACAAACAAAAAACAACTGAAAAGGCCAAGGAGAGTAGTCTGTATTTACTTGGGCTCATGAAGAGAGGCTCATGCTTCAGCCTTTCCAGGTAAGCAGATAAATTTGTTGAATTCTACCACATTATTCTAATACATTTATATCAGGTTTATAATAATGCATAGCCTTAAAGTAACTGCTGTATTTCCTGTGGATGTTAAACAGAATAATCTCTATTTTTAATAGATAAGCAGTGCTAATCACCCCAGTATAAAATGCAAAGAGGTCACAACGCATCCTTTCAGGTCACCATGGCTTAAAAGATAATTGAGTTTCCCTATTAAGTTTTCAAAGGCCAACATCTGCTGATGCTCAGAAATGGTGGATGTGGTCGTATGAAGTGTAAAGTGAAAACACAGCCAGAGAGTCCATGCAACACAGTACTACGAAACTAGAGCAAAACCAAGCTCCAAAGAGCTATTTTCCCACTTATCCCATTTCTGTTACTGATGGCAGGAATGCTCCCGATAGGCAGTTTATACCACTGTCATCTCACTGTGTTTGATTTAGTTCATCTTTTGATTATAAAACGGGTGTGTAAAGGCAAGGTTTTGAACGTAGCACATTGCTACGTGTTTGCAGTTGTGCAAATGTCAAAGCAGATACTAAAGCAGAAAAATTACACAATTAAAATGGAAGGCTTTCCCTTGGAAGTTACTGTCCTTGACGCTGTTTCCCTCTTTAGAGGTGTAAAACAGCTGCCRTGGCGTTCAGCTGGTAGCACTGCTCTCATTTATGAGCAGGCTACTTTGGATGGCATTAAACTTGCTGTCTACAGGTGACAAATCAGTGCCTATTCGTGAGCTTAAGTTACCTGAGCTGATTTAGAAATGGAGAGACCTGACTGTGCATCGTAAGAAGCAATGCAGTTTTATCCAAATTATTATGGATTATATGGAGCAGGATATCAGGTATGGCAAATCGTATTTTACCACAGTGATATTTTATCATTGTGCTAGTCCTGCTTTGCACAGAACTTCCAACAGATTCTAGCAAATATGTTACATGTACTAAACTGAAAACTGAAAAATATTTTTTAATAAATTCTTTCATTTGAATTTCCACACCCACCCACCTACACATGTTTACAGACAAGTGCACACACACAAAACTAATGCTGCTATACTTATCCATCATTAAGAAACACTTTTTGGGGAAAATACCCTCAACAAATATTTTCTGTGCAACTGTCTTTTAATTCTGTGTAGTACACTCAATTTTATAATATGCAGCTTTCATTTGGTGATCAAAAATTATCAGGAAATTTGTGCTAGAAAGGAGATACACTGTCCTGAGTGACCTTGTCTCTGATCACAATATATGGTTGCATTTTAATGCAATGGGGGAAAGCCAAGACTTGCCAGTGCTCTGTAAGGCACGTTTCAGAGAAACATTGTCTGCAACAGAAATGGATTTTGGGAAAATAGGTCCAAGAAAGTTGAATGACAATGCAAAACAATACTGTTTGTATTACTTACTACCAATACTGGAAATACTGGGTATACCTGTAGAGAAAGAAAGCAAAAAATGTACTGTTAGCCATTTGTTGTAGTTGGCTGAGGTGTTAAACCTGAGAGACTGCAAACGATTTTCTCCTAATTTTCAGAATGTTACATCAATAAACAGTTAAACACAAACAGTTACCGATACGCATCCAGACCTTTCTAAATGGAGAGCCTGTAGGTTCTTTAATATGAGACTGCAGGGACCACAAAAATGTATTGACAGATGGGTTTTTTTGGGACCTAAACCAGCTCTCTGAACTTCATGGATTTGTTCAGAACACTTTTGTATTTGAACTAACCAGCYGTTAGGTTTAATGCTGTGGATAAAAATATCAGTCATGCATGTATTATGCACATCAAGGAAAATAATTTAACCAAGGGATAGATGTCCCACTAGCTGCTTTGGCCAACTGCTTAAATCAGTTGATACCTTCTGTTGCATTATCTGTATAACTGTATATAGCTATTATTTTTTCCCTCTTTTACCTGATGGTTATCTAAATTAAGGTATGGAAAAGAAATGTAATGGAGCAAAAGGATCTAATGTATTAGGCTGCTCACATTGATTAAACCTCTTATTGATTTTTTTTTGCTTCCATCTCCATGCTGAGTTAATGTAAGGAAATCACCCTGAAGGCAGGGGGTATTTCCAGAAGTGGTGGCTCTGCTGAGAATTAAACCTTCACTCAGATCAGCAAATTCCCATATTGCAGGATGCAGTCCCAGCTTTGGCTTATAGCTTTGAGTGCCCCTGAAGGCTGCGTGGTGGAGATATATATGGGTGTGCAATCTTTTCAAAAATCTCTTCTTTAGATAAAATAGCAGCATGAATGGCACTACTGCTACTCTGGGTTAGAGTCACAAATTGCAGCTCAGTGCTTAAAACCTGGATATTTGCATACTATTAGTTAAATACAGTTCACTTCTTGTAAGTTTTATGGACGCTTGATGGCTTGCATTTTACTACAGAAATCTGTCTTATTTCTCCATTAAACATCTGCTCTGCTTCTTCCAAAGTCTTTCCTGAAGTTGTGTCTAACTTGGAGCTGGTTTGGACCCATTCTGCAGTTAAGCAAGCTGAGAAGAAATTATGTTCACTGGCAGCAAGGCTGTAAAGTCAGGTCAGAAACCTCTCTGCATTGTGTCATGGCTAAGGCAGTGCTGGAATAATTGCATTTACAAAAGGGGAGTCTGTTGTGTTTCACCATGCCCATCCTGGGACATCTAAACCCGGCTACAGGTTTTATATCCCTTATGGAACCTGTGGCCTGGCAGAGCGCCGAGCCCTGTGCTGGAGACGGCCCCTGCTGGCAGTGGGCTCCATATACCCAGATGTTGTTTGTAAAATTAATTCTTTTTTCTTTCTTCTGAGATTAACAAGATTCCAAAATTCTAGAATCATGTAGTAAGTATTAAAAGATAAAAACATCAGTATAATAGAAAAAAATGATATTAACTTCCTAGAAACAACAAAAATTTTTTATTCCACTACTGTAATTATCAGTTGGAAGAGATTATCAACATAAAATTCCTATCCCCTTGCCTTAAATGACAAAAAAGCAATCAATTTTAAACCTATTTTCCCCAAATATTCCGATAGTGGCTTATTTACATTTTTGCAAGTCATGTAGCTGTTTTAAATTACCAAGATTCATTTCCCTGTATACATGGATGGAAAGTGCATGGATACCTACTAAAATACTGCATCCTCAYACTGCTGCTGTGAAAGGGTGTTTCCTTTTCCTTTTGGGTATTCTCCCTTCCCAGTGCTTCAGCTCTCCTCTTTACATGTGAACACTCAAATGGCCTTCCTCTCCAGGCCAAGCTGTAGCCAAGGGAGAGGTTTCCATGGTTTCCATGCAAACCTGCACTCCTTTTTTTTTTTTTTTTTTTTTTTTTTTCTCTTTTTTTTAACTGTATTTCAAAATTTGCAATGAATTCATAGTGATAAACGCTTCCTAGGAAGACAATAATGAAAGCAAGATGTTGGCTTGCCTGAAGGGCTCTGCATTAATGTTGCTAGGTCGTCTTCAGGTGCTGTTTGAAAAATTCTATTGCTATTTCCATGCCAAACTACTGTGACCTTCTTTAATCAGCTTGACTTTTGGAATACCTGGTTTCCCTGTGTAATACGACCTGTCTTGATTAGTGCACAACTTCACAGAGAGCATGGAAATGGCATTTCTTAGTTCTCTAGAAAAGAGATGGTTCTGTCCTCTGTCTGCTCCTCCAGACACAGGGCTTGACTTCATGAGATCCAGAGGCACCCATTGTTGGCACTGTTGTGCCCCAGTCAGTCCTTTCTTTCAGGCTGAGCTGAGGTTGAGGCAAGTCCTGTTAGCAGCTGGGAGCTGGTTCCTGCCGAGTGCTGAGCAGTTTGGGGCAGGTTATTAGTCATGGAGGGACTGACAAGGAGTGAGTGGACTATGATGGAAGGGAGGCCTTGATGSAGCAAAGAACCAAAGGGATGCTCTAAACCAAAGAACCAGAGATGCTCTAAACAGGAGGAGGAAGAAAAGGGCTCATCCGACTGCTGGGGAGAAATGCTTTCTTGTATTAAAAGTACACAGAAATTCAATAAGATCACTCAGAGTGTCAAAACATATTGCAGAGCAAACTATCCATAGCATGTGGCAGCACATGGGAATAAATGTAATCATAAAATAGTCAATAAGGTAGAGTGAAAACATAAAATAAATGTTATGCAGTCGACAAATGCAGAGATATTGTTAGTATCAGTAAACAACAAAATACTCAGTGCTCTGCCGCAAGCACAATAAAGGGAAAAATGCTTTGCATTCTTCTGAGAAAGTCACGTTGACTGATAATGAGAAGGATACAGAAAATAGCTTTATATCAAGGTTTAGGCTGCAATTAGACAGCGATCTGGGAAGGATCCTAAATTTCACAGAGTCACAGAAYGGTTGAATTTCATGAGCACTGGCTTGCAAGAGTATAATAAAGTCTTATTTGCTGAAAAAAATGGTAGAAATAGAACAGGGGAGGCAACATAAGTTGCAGTTTGGAAAGATTTTTAAACCAACATTAGACTTATTGTTGAATCTGTGTAAATTTTCAGAATTTAGAGGATCTTGAGAGGAAGGATCATCTTTTGTGAAAACTAAACTTTGTTTCATTTAGATATCTAGATTTTARCTGTGTTTTATTTAAACACAAAATCATATAAAACAGAAAACCCTCAAGCCCATTTAAAATGAAAAATATTTTGGTAGCATTAGAAGTGGGTCTGAAAATGGAGGAAGGAAGAGAATCAAAGACACATTGTGCTGCTAGAGATAACAAACACATCCGAAGCAGGAGTTCTCCTAGAGATGACTGTGTAGGTAGGCCACCTAGGTACAAGAGCACTAAATGCTACATTAAGAGTTTCTTTTGATGTTCAAAGATGGAAGACTGGAGAGATTGTCACATTGCCACTGAGGAAGTTTCTGAATGTCTCTCTTTTTTTGAAGGTGCTTTAGAAGACATAAATAATGATGAGCAATAACAAATCACCACAAGGTGGTATTCACCCACAAAGCATATTAAAGCAACTCAAATATGAAATTTCTGAGTTAACAACTGTAACATGTAACCTGTCACTTATGTCAACCTTGATGCCCAAGAAATGTTGTAACTGTGACACCAGTCTTTTAGAAAGGGCTTTAAGGCTGATTCCTGTAATAACAGTAAAAAGCAGACGCCTTTCAAGCTCTTGCAAAAACACACCTCACATCTAGAGCACATCTTGTACTCACATCTAGAGCCTCCCATGCAGTTTTAGTTCACCTGCTTAAAAGTGACACTGCAGAACTAGAAGAACACAGGAACAACCCAGATGATCAGAGATGTGACGTGACTTCTGTGTATGAACAGATTATACAGATTAGGGTTCCCATATAGAAATCAGACAGGGGAGTGGGCATGACAAGTCTATGTAATCATGAATAGTATAAAGCATGTAAATGGATGGAGGGATAATAATGTATTATTCACTATTTCTTCAATCCAAGGAAGTGCAGGCTTAACTGAATAAGAGGACTTTAAACCAAAGGAGGTAACCATGTTACTTAGTGGGTAATTAAAAGGTGAAATGCGTTGCCATAATATGTCACTGAAATCATTCTTGAGAAAGCTGGGGCTCTGCCCATACAGTGACCAGTTAGGCAGRGTTCTGAAGCATGTTCCAGCTCAGAAATATGTTTTATTGCTGGAAATGGGGAAGGCAAACAAGATATCCTCTACATTCACCCTACTGAAAAATTTTGGCAAGTTCCTGGTGCTGATTACTTGTAAAGTCAGCATTTGAGGCTATAGATAAAGAGTTGTTTGGCTCCAATAAACTTACATTATCAAGATGCTATCAAAATACTAAAATAAATGAATAGCAAAACCTTGCTATCATTTGCAGAGGGCTTCAGTTTTGAGGGAGCTCCATAACGTTATAGTTTCTCTGACCAGCTTCAGGTAGTGTTTGAATGTGTGCCCTGGTCCTTTTGGTGTAGGCTCGACTGATGTAAAATTATGTAACCGACCCAGCAGACTGTGTTTAGAAACATCCCTGCCCTGTTCAGATGTATCTTGTCCCCCATACAGAGGAATAAGGTAGCAACTGCACTCAGTGTGTGCGCATGTGTACACATGTGTGTGTGTGTGTGTGTGTATATATATAATATATATAAAATATATATACATATGTAAATAAAATCTAAGCTTGTAAATCTCTTTTTTTCTTTCTGAACAAATCTTTGAAGTATTAATTCTATGAGTCATACTGTCTTTTTTTGTAATGCAAGGAAAAAGTGAATACTCTTACAAAATGTTTTTGCCCCTCTTTCTCAAAGTTCCTTTTTTTTTTTCCTCTTAGTAGGAATTTTATCATAATTTCATGCTCCCACACTTCACGGTTTGTTACTTGGTCTATTACTCTCACATTTAACTTGATAAGGTCCTGCTTCCTGTGATACTCATTTTTGAGTTTTGATTCCTCACAGCTGCTGCTTTGAAGTCTTAGATAACATTCTAGGGATTGCACTTGCTCCTGGTTTTAAACTTTCCATTCAGCTGTAGTGCATAGCTCTGTTTCTCCTAAATAACTTTTCAGTGAATTGTTATATTTTAATATTCTAAAATGAACAATTTGCTTTTAATCAGGGCAAAACTCTGGACTTTCTTTTAAAAGAAGCTAATAAGTTCTGTTAAAGGGTTGATGATTTATCCTCATCTTCTTTATTCCTTCCCCCAAAGGAATTTAAATATGTTACTCAGTTTAGGATGGATCTGAGCCATTGTATAATTCGTACACGTGTGCGAGGAGGAACCGATGCTTATACTTGTCTTTGTGCCCACTCTTTTTGAGCACCTTTTTCTCTTGAACCTTATCCTGACCAGGACCAGTAAAGGCAGCTGTCAACAGCTCCTCTGGATAACACCAAGTGCACTGGAATGGTGTGTGTGCACATGCTTGAAAGCTAGTTGGAAAGGGGCAGATATAACAAGTTAGTTTTTGTCCTCACTTCCCCTCTTAAACATGATTAAGATCAGGTACAAGCTTTTCCTCCCCAACTTTTACCTCTACGATTCTATGTCAAAAATAATCTAGTCTGAGGTTTGCAAATTTTCTTAAATGGAGATAAAATGAGCAAGGACTCATCATGGGAGTGGAAGTTAGTGTTTTTGGTGAATGCAGAGCAGTACGAATGTGTGAATGGGGAGCTGGGGGAGCCATGGCTGGGTGCCTCAGTACTGCAGAGGCACCCACTRGCTCCTCTCATTTCTTTTTCTTATTTCTTCCTGTTTTCTTACTCCTTAGCCCTTGCTATCCAGTGTCCCGGGGTTTTGTCTAGAGATACAACCGCGCAAATTCTTTACAAGCATGGGAGCACACAGATAATGCAGACTTACAATTAACACAGGCTTTTAGCTCTGTCAGATTATGTGCATTGAGACATAAATAAATGACCAACTTTTGCTAGCACATAGCTTCCTTCAGTGTCACTATTTGGGGCAGAGTTCTAATAATGAAACAATCCATATTATGCAGAACTACTTACAGATATTAGCAGTGCCCTTCGGTATGGGGAGATAGGAGCCAGGGCTCCACGGTCGGCCCTGGTAATTTTTCTTGCATTTTCCACAGTCTGGACCAGTTGTGTTATGCTCACATTCACAAAGCAGTCTTTTGTTTTCTTCTTTACAGCCAGTAGCATGAAGGTTGCACTTACACCTATTTAAAAAAAGAAAAAGAAAAAAAAGAGGAGGGTATTATTTAGAACTGATTTGAGTTTAGATGAAGTCTTAATAGAATATGTTCTGTGGCAATCGCTCCGTATCTTAGTGTAGTTGGGAGTGTGCAATTATTTTAGCATGTTGTAAAAGAAGACATCAGTCAAACAGCAGCTTGTAATATGTTCAACTCTAATCTAAAAGCAGTAATTTCACCAGGAATACAAGGTGCTGAATCTTCTCATGTCTCCACTGACACAGCTCTACTGAGATCAAATAAGTTACTCATGATTTTCAGTACAGGCACCTCTATAATCTTGCAAAAATTCTAAGGTTACTCATATCAATAAAAACAAAAGCTCTACTTAATGTCCTTAAAAACCTGTTCCAAATTAAAATCAAAATTATGCTGGGGAATCCTAGACCATAGACTTCAATTAGATATGTTCTAGAAGGCTGCACTTCATCAGAGAGGAAAACTGAGAAATACAAGTTCAGTGCAATGGTATTTTATAAGTCTAACTTCAAGACTGTTCAAAAATATTTTAAAACACTGGGTGAACAGTTTACCTAATGTTTTAAGCACAGTTTAATTGTATGGCAAGCTAATAGGAAAGAATTTCTAAAAAAGTCTGATTCATCTGAAGCAAAATGCTTATGCAAAAGATCTGCCTATATTTGGAAGCCTTTTGCTATTTTTTTTCTTCTTGGTTTTTGTCTTCCCTATAGATAAGATAGTGATCTAAAACATATACCAATAGAAATGTTTTTTATAGAAAACTATGCTGTCAAAATCATATATGAATATAAAATCGCAAAAGCCATTTTATTCCATAAGCACAGTCTTCAGAAAGGACAATTTTTTGCCTACTTTTTTCTGATATAATTGTAGCAGTTGTCAGTCAGAGAAAAAAAATACATATTTTTAATATATTTCCCTATTTCCCTAGCAAAAAACACCTAATCAAACCTTGTGATTCAATTATTAAATAAATCTATTCTTAGAGTTGTATTTTCTTTAAATCCCTCTCTTTCCCTGAAACTAGGACACTTAGAGTGGCGAAGCTGGTTTCATAAACACTAAGGTCTTGTTATTTCTTTCCATCTATTTAAGGTGGATGTCAGAAAAGGGTAAAATCCATTTCTGTTTGGGCTGAAGAGAAAACCAGTATTTAATGACCCCAGCTGGTTTCCTAACGATTGTACATCCAGTGATTTAAAGGTTCTCCTGTGGGCATTTGTCACCTGTTCCACACAGTGACCAATAATTAGAGCAAAGTGAGACATGGAATGGCCAAGATTTTTAGCAGGTGCAAATTAGCAGCCGTCAAGCTGCCTTGCATTCAGAAGGAATATGACCTGAAGCAACTGGCCACATATTTCAGTGCTCCCAGGGTAAAACCAACTTGCAGTTGTCTGCTGCAGAAAATGCCCAAGAATGTGTAATGCAGTAGATGATGTCTGCTGTTCTCAGAAAGAACAGAATCAGCACCTTTGAAATTGCCATTACCAAAATGCATTAAGCACGCCAGAGAAAAGGAAAGGTGCCACATTTGTGTTGTTTCCAAAATATTGATACTTGGAAACTTATCTCCGTTGTAAAGTGTCTTTCAATGGGTGGCTACTGCGGACCGAGGGCCGTGCCCAGCACTGCTGTGAAGAGAAGCCAGGGCTGGGCTCCCTGTCCACAACCAGCTGGCAATGGAGGGCTCCCAAACAGGAGATGCTCCCAGAGATGGCAGTAATAAAACAAAAATTTAAAAAGAAGGATTGGCAGATTGCTGCTTGTCCCAAACCTAGACATGTTTTCACAGCAAAAAGCACTTGCCAGGAGGTAGGTGGGGCCTTCTGGCAAGTTTTAAAGCCTTGTTTATTAACTGTGCTTGAGCGGAAAGCATTCCCCCAAACCGGGAGAGAGGGGGAACCTCCCAGCGATGTTACTGTAAGTGGAGGAAAGAAAGAGCAACCGATTTGACTATGTAAGAAATAGAAGAGTCTTCTAAAACTGTTGTTGGCAGAGAATAGTTGAGATGACCTAACACAGACAACTGAGCAAAACAGAGCTGCCAACTCCAGTAATCTGAAAAAAAAAGGCAAAACAAAAAAACAAACCTGGAATAATCAAACTTAACTGTGCACAAATTCTAAGGAGAAGAAAGTCAGGAAGATGTGGTGTTACTGTGGTTTTCTAAAGGGCTATCTAAAGATGAACGATCAAAGCATAAACTACATTTATATAAAAAAGGTAAAATATAAAGTAAGCGTCAGAGCCTAGTTAAAGTGGGCAGAAAAGGAGAACTATTTCTGAAACTCAAACCACAAAAGATCAGCTAATGTGCAGAAAAAAAACATTTCCCTTGGCATCTTGGCTTGTAAGTAACGTAAAAGTTAGATTTTGTTTGTGATTTAGACAAGTGTGAAAAAATCTGTGGATTAATGAAATCTGCAGAGACCAAACTGGAGATATTGGTGGTATGAGTAAGCAAGCAGAGACATGAGGAGGAAAATAGTATTCAGGGGACTGAACCACGTAGGCTCTGTTCGCCACTCACTCTCACCAATTTTTGCTGATGTCACTCCACAGATTTTGGAGATTAATCATGATTTCCACAGCAAACCAGGGGGAAAGCTGAATACTGAATGAGTGTAAAATGCAGATAGTGCTAAAACTGAAAGAGAACAAAAAAGCAAATGTGGAAAACAAACTGAGCATATGCTTGGAGTGCACCGTGCCTGGGGAAAAACAAGCCAATATCAAATTTTGTGCTGCATGCGGAGAGGCATTCTTTATTGAAATGGGGAAATAATGTTTTGCATGTTTCTGCTTTCTCTCTAGGAAGGCTGCACTCAGAAGTGGGCAAKCTGTCCCAGGGCCCTCATCAGAGAGCGCTATGGGCAAGGAGAAGAAGTTCTCAGAAGAACGAGAGCGAGCTGCTGTGCTCGGGGGGATGATGCATCCAGAAGAATGAGAGAGGTAAATGTGCATCCTGGGGCTGACACGGGACTAGACTGCACTGAAAAGCTGCTCGTGTTTGAGGGCGGCGCAGCAGGGAGAAAGGAAACCTTTAAGGTTTTAGCAGGAAGGTTATTCAAAACATGCCGTCCAGGTGGAGCATGAGGAAAATTACCCTTATCAGGAGATACACAGGACTGTGAACAGGTTCTGAATGAAGCAGTGGAAGGCTGACTTCAGGCATTCCTGCTAGATTTGTATCAGTGGCCACTGAGCACCACTCATCTGGTGGCCAAACAGGGCACTGATCAGACCACTCGGGGCACATGGAGATCAGCTTTCTGTGAAGATGAATTGTCCATGTTCAGTGTGTCTCCTCTTTAGGAAGACTACCTTCCTTTTATGATCCAAAGGAATGAAATGTCTTGTTATCTTATACCCGTAAAGATTCATTTTTATTGAAATGCCTAGATACCATCTTTAAACTTGTGGCTCTGAAAGGCCATTCTTAGCTATTACTGCTTTAACTCTGAGATAGTAAGAGAAAACTTAATTAGATTTATGTGCAAAGTGCACTAAACACAAAGTTTAGTAGATTCTTCCAGTAGAAGAATACGGTCACTTGAGCTGCATGTAGAGGAAGGAAAATCTGCACGAGAACTTGCAAAACTGCTTCCAYGTCCTGTTTACTGAGCAAGCTCCTGAGAGATTCCAGACGACAGCAGAGGATTGTGCCTGTGTGGTTTCTTCAAATCAAAAAAAAAAAAAAAAAAAAAAAAAAAAAAAAATTCAAAGTGCTTCCCAAAATGTTATGTGCTATGTGCACATGCCCAGAAAAGCAATTATTGGGTAGCAGTGTGGGGTAGCAGCTGCTTGGCACATCAAGGGGGTTTGCATGTGTACTGGAAAGAGGTGAATGAGGGGGCTGGAGTAAGCAGAGTGGCTTTAAGCATTCAGGTAAGCTGTGGCGAATGTAAGAGGTTGCATCTAGCAACCACTTCACTGCACTGGAAAACATTCTGAGAGTAAAGCAGCATACAGGAACAGAGTAGATATTAAAAGCAAAGCATGATTCTCAAGTGCAGTATAAATTGTGTTGACAAGGCTTGCCTACGTATTTGCAAAGAAACTCAGAAATATGTAATTATAAATATCAACGGCTCCGTGATCAGTCAGGTTACAGGTCTTGAACCTAAACCTAAATACAAGGGTTGTCTGCTGGTTAAGTCTGGTGGCAGAAGGAGCTTTCTGAGGTGTTTTTTTGGTCACTGGGTGAGCTCCATTGCCAGTGCTGACCCTATGAGAGTGAACTCCGGGTCCCATAACATCTGTGTATCCCGTCAAACTTCCAGCCTGGTGCTTCTGCAGCTCAGTTGTTTTCCACCTTTCCAGTTCAACCTGTAATAAGTATGTTTCCTGCCGAAGCGTCAAGAACACATTTCCCTCCAATGTGCAAACTTAATTTTGAATAGCTAGAGATGGATATTGCTGTCCAACACTATAAGCCCTAATTGTGTGGGAGAACAAATTTGTTTTTCTGACCACTCATCTTTGACAGACTCATTATTTTGTCATAAAGCAACCGAAATGATATTTTTGGCAGTTACGTAAGGTGTGGGAAGCGTTGTGGAGCGCGCAGGGAACCGCTCTGTCGCAGTGGGAGAAGGAGCCCTGGGCAGCCTGTGTTTCTCACAGATTCTATTTACATATAGACAGCTGACATTAAAATGCTGTAAATATCACTAAAGTCATTGCTAATAGTGTGCTGATTCACGCGCGGGCGAGCGCCAACCAGCCGACTGGAGGTCACATAAGGGGATCATTTATGTTGAAGAGATCATTCACGAGCAGGAAAGACAAGAGAAGCTCGTTGATACATTTTTAACGACTAGCCATATGTTCCTCACTGAGATCCGTTTTTGGATCATTCTAGGTCATCGGCAAAGTTTTTAAAAGAAAACAAAACACTTGAAAGCTGCCCCAGGAGCCTGCCCAGCGGCTCCTCGCCTGGCCCTCCGCATGGGGCACCCTCCTGCAGCCGGGCAGTG